ATATATATATATATATATATATATATATATATATACACACACACACCTACTCTGTGTCTGTGTGTGAGAGAGAGAGAGAGAGTGTGAAATAATCACAGACAAATGCTCACACCAGTCAGATCTTTCTGTTGAGTGGAAGGGCTTGTAAGGGTGTGTCCCCCAGTCTAGGAGTGCCTGTGGTCAGCAGGAGGGGCAGTGGGCCCGCCAGGACGGGATGTGGGTGGAGGTCCCATGTGGGACGGCCCTTGGCCTGACTGGCTCTGGGTCTCAGGAATGTCGGGGGTCTCTTTGAAGCACAGCTCAGAAGGCATTCCTCCTGAAGGGGGGGCAGCTGATGTGCCGTGGAAGGAGGCCACTGCACCGTTAAAGACTGTTTCTGCACAATGTGAGTTATATTTGCATTTTCATTTTTAGTTAAACCTCTCGATCCAACTAGAAAGTCAACTTCAACCATTGCCGTTGTGGAAAACATCTGGAGATGTTCACCCGTACTGATGTGATCTGTATTGCTGATTCGCCACGAGTAAACCACAAGTTTTTGTTGTATAGTGCAATCATTTATGTTTTTTTAGATGATGTTAAGCTGTCATTAATGCAGAGGGACCCCTACCCTTCACTATGCCCAAACAAATCTGACCTTCCCCATTTGACCTCCTTCACTTTGCAGCCTAAACATTATATACTATATGGCCAAAAGCACATTGTATTGGGATAAGGCTCTTAATCATTGAATTTAGCTGTTTAGTTCAGACCCTTTGTCACAGGTGTATAAAATCAAGCACCAAGCCATGCAGTCAGGTTTGCAAATGAAAGAATGGGTTGTTCTAAAGAGCTCAGTGAATTCAAGAGTAGTACTGTCATAGGATGCCACCATTGCAGTAAGACAGTTTGTAAAATTTCTTCCCTGCAAGAAGAGGTAGTGGCATTATTGCAAAGTGGAAGCATTTAAGAACGACAGAAACTCAGCCATGAAGTGGCAGACCGTGTAAAGAAACAGAGCAGGGTCACTGAGTGCTGAGGTGTATAATGTGTAAAAGTCGCCAACGCTCTGTTGACTCAGTAACTGTAGAGTTCCAAACTTCCTCTGGCATTAATCCCAGCACAAAAACTCTGCACCGGGAGCATGATGGAATGGGCTTCCATGGCTGAGCAGCTGCTTGCAAGCCTCACATCAGCAAGCATCAGATGGAGTGGTGTAAAGCATGTCACCACTGGACTCTGGAGCAGTGGAAATGTGTTATGAGACAAATCATGCTTTTCTGTCTGGCAGTCTGATGGATGAGTCTAGGTTTGACGGACGCCGGGAGAATGTTACCTGCCTGACTGCATTGTGGGAGCTGTACAGTTTGGTGGAGGAGGGATAATGGTATGGGGATGTGTTTCAGAGGTTGGACTAAGCCCCATAGTTCCAGTGAAGGGAATGCTTCAGCATACCAAGAGACTTTGGACAATTCTATGCTTCCAATTTTGTGGGAACACCTTGGGGAAGGACCTTTTCTGTTCCAGCTTAACTGGGCCCCAGAGGTGGAGATTTCAGGTCCAGAGAGTACAAATCTAGACCAAGATTTTGTTTCAACCAACCAGTTGAGCACTCTGTGAGTGTGACTCTTTATACTCAACTGGTTGATTGAAAGAAAACCTTGGTCTAGATTTGTACTCTCTGGACCTGAAATCTCTACTGGGCCCTGCTACACAAAGCAAGGTCCGCAAAGACATGGTTAGCTGAGTTTGGTGTGTAAGAACTTGACTGGCCCACACAGAGTCCTGACCTCAGCCCTACCAAACACCTCTGGGATGGACTAGAATGGAGATTGCGAACCAGGCCTTCACGTCCTACCTCAGTGCCTGACCTCACAAATGCTCTTCTGGATGAACGGGCAAAAATTCCCACAGACACACTGCAGAATCTTGCAGAAATCCTTCCCAGAAGAGTGGCAGCTGCATAGGGGGGACCAGCTACATATTGATGCCTATGGATATTGAATGGGGTGTCATAAAAGTTCCTGTAGGTATAATGGCCAGGTGCCCCAATGCTTTTGTCCATATAGTGTATCGGGACACCAGCTTATCAAACATCTCATGGAAATCAAAGCGAAGTTGATCTGCCCTTTGGAGCTATAATAGCCATTCTTGTTGTGGGACAGCTTTCCATTAATGTTCGAACACTGCTGCTGGGATTTACTGCCATTCAGGTTTGGTATTGATGTTGGGTTATCTGGTCCCTGTCTGCGAGTCTGTGCAGCCCTACCACTTTGCAAATAAACTTTTGTTGAATTGAGTGTGAGGGCTCACACTGTAGCCAATTTCCAGACTGAGGAAAACAACCAGATTGTTTTCAGCGAGGCCCGTAGTTTGTTTGTTTGCCATTTCTAGTCCTGGCTTTGGGGTTGAATGCAAGGCCCTGGAATTGGTTTCATTTCCAATTCTGGCCACCAGATGGCAATAAATTACCTTTTCAGCAATCAGAAGATATGTATTAGAAAACATTTCTACCTTTGCTTATTGTTCTGTTTTTCCCTTTCCCATTTGAATTGAGACATATGACCATAATGTGACAGAGTAATGTTTGTTAACAGATTTAGGGAATAGATTACTACAGTGTATGGGTTCTTCATTGATTCGTCCACAATGATTCACTCTACACAGGATCCTTTCTGTTCCTCTTTAATAACTGAGGCAGTCAGAATGGGTCTTACACAACTAAAATAAATAGTTTTTTTCAATAACAATAATATAAATGCTTATTTTGTTTTAATAGTTTTGTTCCTATTTGTTCCCTTTAAGTACATAGATATGAGGCTTTTTTTTCTCCACCAAATGTCCTGGTAGCAGCATTCATACGGCCGGTGAGCAGGAGATAAACTCCATCTGTCGTCATCTTTAAGCACAGGTACCAGGGGTCAGGGGGGTTGGGGAAGGGGGGAGGGAGTCTTAAAGGTAAAGTACAGTCTTTGGTGACTTATCCTTTTGGTATAATGGACCTTGTGCAGTCCAGTATCTTTAGTATGGTTTTGAGATTATATGGGATGGAACATCCTGTTCCGTAACATGTCACCACAGCATCAGCATCACGTTAGTCTGGAGTTTGGGTCACATGCACACATTACACAGCTGAGCGTCTGCGCACACACACACAAACACACACAAACACACACACACACACACACACACACATACACAGCTGGCATGGAAAGCAGTCAATAAGTCTTCCTTTGTCAGTTTCCTTCTACTGTTCCAGCATCCACTGTGCTTTATGTTCCCCGTGATCCTTGGGCCTGTCACAGTCTGTCTTGCTGATCTCATTTTTAAGTCCAGCTGATCCAGTTCATTGGTTCTGGTACCATAGCTGCACATCAATCAACCCAGCATGGCCCTCTTTGGCATCACGGCGTAATTCCTTTCCAGCATCAGATCAAACTGGGATTCCAGCACTCCGTGTCAGTAGTCCAGTCCCAGATCAGTTTTTGTAGGCTTGTATCCAGCAATGCTGTGTGAGATTCCAGGGCCGGGGGCTGAGGTGTTCTATGGGGGTGTGTTAGCAAGACACATTAGCCGAGCATAGCATCGATGGTACATTAATGGAATGTGTTATCAGGACGTACTAGGCAAAGTATATACACAGTGTGAACATCAGTGGGCTGTGTTAGCAGCAATGAGTTAGTGAGGTACGTCAGTGGCGTGCGTTAAGGTGTATCAGCAGAGCAGGCTAGCACAGTGAGCTATCTCATTGCGTTAGCGGAGCAGCCTAGTAGGCCACGCTACCTCAGCGTGTTAGCAGAGCAGGCTAGCAGCATGAGCTACCTTACTGTGTTAGCAGAGCATGCTAGCAGGTTGAGCTACCTCGATGTCTTAGCAGAATGGGCTAGCAGAGCGAGCTGCCTTGGTGGAATAGCAAAATGAGCGAGGAGAGTAAGATACCTCGGTGTGTTAGCAGAGCAGAATAGCAGAGTGAGCCCCCATGGTGCGTTAGCAGAACCTGCTAGCAGAGTGAACTACCTTGGTGTATTAGCAGGGCTGGCTAGCAGAGTAAGCTACCTTGGTGTATTAGCAGAGCTGGCGAACAGAGTGAGCTGCCTCAATGTGTTAGCAGAGCGAGCTAGCAGAGTGAGCTACCTCAATGTGTTAGCATAGCGGCCTAGCAGAGCGAGCTACCTTGATGCATTAGCTGAGCTGGCTAGTAGAATGAGCTGCCTCAATATGTTAGCAGAGCAGCCTAGAAGAGTGAGCTACATTGGTGCATTAGCAGAGCGGGCTAGCAGAGTGAGCTGCCTCAATGTGTTAGCAGAGCGGGCTAGCAGGCTAGCAGAGTGACCTGCCTTTGCATGTTAGTAGAGCGAGCTAGCAGGCTAGCAGAGTGAGCTGCCTCAATGTGTTAGCAGAGCGGGCTAGAAGAGTGAGCTGCCTCAGTGTGTTAGCAGAGCGAGCTAGCAGTCCTCTGTGGTTTGCACCCTCTTGCTTCGTTTGCTGACCGTGGTGAAGCGAAACGGCTGGGGGTCTGGTTGCTTGCCGGGAGGGAAACGCTTCATAAAGTGCACGTCCTGTTGGTTGGGCAGGGTGTGTGGACCACGCCGAGGGCGCCCTCTCTTGGTGAAGCCGACGTACCACCCAGCATAGCGTGCAGACATCAGTGCTGTATAGTTGTTTTCCAGCACCTTCTCCACAAAGACACAGTCAGGGCTGCGATTGCTGGCCTTCTGGAAAGCGCACACACAATAGCCTTTGTTAGCATGTAGACAAACAACATGGATGCTATCATTAGATATGCTGAAGATCATTAATACTAATGTCACCCACTCACCTTACCCACCAGTTTTCCTCGGCGGTTCATGCACAGGTAATAGTTGGTCTCCTTGCCCCGTATCCTCACCTGGCTGCCAAAGGAGTCTGCTTCCACTACAAGCTGGGCTTGTAAAGAGACAGAGAACGGGACAGACAAACAGACCACACATGCGGTTTTAGGGGGCGTGGATTTCCACCTTTCCTGGCTGTGACTGGTCATGATCATTAACGATCACTATTGAAGTACTATGACTCAGGATTTATATCAGTTGCATTTGACATAATTGGGTTGTGATTAGTTGCGATTAGTGGTATAGGGTGTTACGTCCCTGGATAGGGTTCAAGACAGATCAAGATATAAGACAGAATAGGGAGGGGGAGGGGAGTAAGTGCAATGGGAGGTGAGGAACAGTAAAGAGGGTTTGGATTGGTATGACTGGTTTTGATCAGATAAAAGTTATTGGAAACATTGCCAGGATAAACAAATTCAAAACAGAGCATCAATATAGGAATAAAGTTCATAATAAAATCCAAATTTTGTAGAAACAGGCACTACTGTGTTAAACATACAGGTTTGTTTTAATCTGTTTCACTCACTGTCATTAAGCTTCCAACCTTCACCTCTGTTTTCAGCCTTCTGCCCCCTGCTCCTTCCTAACTCCCTTTACTCTTTTCCTGTTATATTTCATTTTCTTGTTTTCTTTGAACATACACTGTCCTGGCACCCCCATTACAGTGAAAGTGAGGGAGAAGCTTAAAGTTTCAGCAACATGAATTTTAAGTAACATCAAGCTTGTGGGAGTTTTACTTACACAAGAATGTTCTGAGAGCAGAAGTAAAAATGATTGGTTCAGGGAGATAGCCAATCAGATTGTAGAGGAGGTGGGTCCAAGTGACTAGAGGGGGCGGTACCAAGACATCTAACTGGCTGGTCCCACCTCCCCTAGTTGCTTGAACCCACCTCCTCTACAATCTGATTGGTTATCTCTCTGAACCAATAGTTTTTCTTCTGCCCTCAGAACATTTTTGTGTAAGTAAAACTCCAATGGGCTAATATCAATAAAATCTGTCCATCACTGTCTCTCACCCTGCGTCTTTCTGTAACCTAAACGTTTACTTTCCAGCATCTCACTTTTCCTCACCCTATCTGCGTTTGGTATACCTTTCACGCCTGTCTTATCCCTGCTATGGTCTGGTATGGCTGTGTTGCACCTCACCCTCTTTGCTGCCTAAACAGGGGCAAAAAACACCCAGACATAGAGAGAGAAAAGGGCTCAAATGAGAGACTGAGTGAAATGTTCTATTTTAATCAGGAGGAGAGAGCAAAGCAAGTGGGAAATCAATAAGCTGCGAGATCTCACCTCCATCCATCCCCCCTGGGTCCTGCTGTTTGTTGCTGTATGCCAGCTTGTTGTTTACAGCGAAAGGGACTGGCAGTGGCGACCGTGTATCTAAATACGTGTTTGTGAAAGTGCACACCTGTGTTTCTTACCATATCGGTCACCATCCTCCCCCCGTGCACTGATCTTCCTTCCCAGCACCTGTAGGTGCTTCCCACTGGTGCGGCTGTACAGCTGATATACTCTGTGCTGTCGCCGGCTCATGGCATCATGGACACGAGTCTGGTTTTCCACGTGTACACTGAAGTTCACGCCGTCCCTGTCAAAAACCTGCTAGGGCCACAAACACCCTTTCAGTCACTGACATTCAGTCATACAAATGCTCAGTCTGATGCTACCTGGAACAAGCACAGGTGGAGATTTCAGGTCCAGAGAGTACAAATCCAGACCAAGATTTTGTTTCAACCAAGCAGTTGAATATAAATAGTCACAGTCACATAGCACTTAAGTGGTTGGTTGAAACAAAATCTTGGTCTGGATTTGTACTCTCTGGACCTGAAATCTCCACCTCTAATAAAAAAAAAAATTAAAAAAAAGCAATAATTCATTCAAGCAAGGATTCATTCTGTCATTTCACTGCCTCAACTTTACCACAAAAGACATACAGACTTACTTGCAAGGGGCTACACATTGCAAACAGAGCCTGGACACACCTATGAATGGGAAGGCAAAAAATGATTTACTGAGGATCAACCAAAACATCAGCAGTTCACTATAAAGTAGATTGTCATCCAGGAGTATCACAGAAAGCGATTAATATGGATCATTCATTAACATCAGAGTAAAACATGTTTTAATATCAGCTCTCCCCGAACATCAGATTACATCCCAGCTGTAAGCCTGTGATGCCATTATCTTCCTCACTTGGCACAAAAAGTGTACATTAAATAAATGTTTAGATTTAACATATTTAGCAGATGCTGCTGTCCAATGCAAGTGAGGCAAATATCACATTACAAACATATTTGCTGTCAAGGAGTCAACTATGCATAAGTGAGGCTAGGCTGAGCTTCCAGTGAATGCAGAGGTACAGGCGTAAGCTGGATTGGAGCAGGAGCGACACAGCAAATTCGAACAAAGCAAGAACTAATAAGACCATCCAATGACCATGAATGCAACATTGAGAGCTTTCAGGGAACATAATGTGGCATCTGGCCTGTAATGTAAACATCAGCATTACTAGGCCACACACCCAAAGGACAGGAGGTTAGGAGAAACCCCCCCCACCCCCCCAATCCAGAGCCTCTCTGCACTTTAATGACAGATATGTGTGCAGCATTACAGGGACGCCTGTTTGGCTATGCTTTGCATCCCAACCCCACCCCCTGTCAGGTGCCCCAATCCCATGTGGCTGTAGGAGGGGCTTGGATCCTTGCCCCTACTGGGCCAAGTCACAGAAAGATGTAGCAACAGTTGGGGGAGGTGGAGAGGGCAACAGAGGTCACAGCTGTGTTGAGTCGCTGTTGAAGCAGTGCATTGTGGGAGAATGGGCACCACATCCAGTTTCATATTCATCTGGACCACACCACTCTTCTGTCTTTACTTTGTCGCTCTGCAGACCATTTCATCCACTGGTCGATGGCGTACAGTTTTCACTTACCCTTTTTGGCACAGTTTTACATCTTTAAGTCATTTTGGTTAGACAGTTTTCAGAGATGTACAACATTTGGGGTCATCTGGGTAGAAGTCTACCCCGAGGTCACAATGCCTCTGACAGGTCGACCTCTGGCCTCACAGTGGCCTCACGCCTTCTAGCCTAGCAACTCTCCCTGGAGGCCTTAGCCCTGCTCATCATGCTGACTTCTGACCTCTGACCTCAGCTCAGCTCTCAGAACATGCCTTCTGATCCATGCTCAATATCCCCAGCAGGTATCACTGTGCATCCCAGAAAAGGTGCCTTTGAAAAATTTTACTGAGTGTTTTTTCAATTCTAGATATGGATAAACTAATAGAATTTTTCAAAGTACTGAGATACCCTCCTGTTGAAATATTAAAACAAAAATGGTGCATTAATGCAAATGGAAATTCAGTTTTGTTTGTTTGTTTGTTTCTTTGTAGTGTAAACAAAGGTTCTTCTACAGCAGCAGAATCGCACCCTGTTGTTTCGTGGGAGACCTACACCTGCTGTATGTGTCTGAATACAGGCACCTGCTGCTCAACTGGAGACGGCCGGTAAGCGGTGCCGCAGCCAATTAGTGTCATGTAGACTGTAAACGCACAGCCTAATCAAATACATGCAGGTATAAAACAAATATACTCACAAGACAGCTGCAGCATAGAGGAGGTACCGCATCGCTCTCCCGGGGACAGAACCGCGTCCTGCCGCGGTCGGATCCCCGGATGTGAACGGGGATTACACGGGTTTGTAATCCGTTGAGAATAACTGCTTTCCACCTAACACCTGGGGGCTTGTTCTGTTCTGAGATGAGAACACCCCCGGTTTTTCCGGGTACTTGGATCCCGGTACAGGAGGGGCACCTTTTAGTCGGCGGCTGTTTTTTTCTGACCGCCGAAGTTACAGGTGAAAATCACCGTTGAAAGTGCATGCATGGAAATGTCTCCGTCTTTCTAATTCACGCTTCTTGTCCACGTATTCCGTTCATATTAAATCCAGACGCTGCTCAGACTCATGTTTTCCCAAAGCTGCGAATCGTGAAAGTTGCCCAGCACTCATTAATGCACTAAGCGCTTCCACCAAAAGACGGGATAAGGTCCTCTGTTTGTTTGGTGCTACTTTATTTAATCGTTTACTTTTCTGTCCCACAATTTTTTCTCTCTATGTTATTTCTTTCCGAAATCGGTGAGATTAGAGAGGAACTGCCAGGTCTTTGTTGGAGGACACAAGCGAATCCACACTGGGTCTGCAGGGAGCACCGATGTAAAACTCAAAACATCAAACCCCGGGGAGGTGGGACCGTTTAGGGCAGAGGTAGGAGATGCGGGCGATCCTGCGCTAGTGCCAAAGGTGCGAAGACAGTTCCCGCGGGAGGCAGGGCACCTGGGCAAGACGGAAACCAGGGCGGCGGGGTGAGAGCAGCTCCGCGGGCTTCAGGTGCTGCCGACCGGCTTCTGTCATGACTAATCCTCTCAGATGGGTCGCGGAGTCCGTAGGTTGGGGGACAATGACGCGCAATGTAAAGAATTACAGCATAGACAGCTACGAGAGTGGGGTAATCCGACTATCCAGATCTGGAGGGGATGCGGGAAAGACGATGACAGCGGGGACCGCCAGCGACAGCACAGAAGAGTCACGGCCATACACACGCACCTGATTCACGGACAACTCGGCTCGTCCAGCCGCTCGCCTCACAACGGTAGTCTGTACGGAGCCCGCACACAATACCAGCCCCAGCACAGCCAGATGACATCACCCTCAATTTTTTTTTAGGAAAAAATGCAATCCGATCTTTTTTGAACTTTGCATTTATACCAAAAGCCAAGTCAGGACGTCGCAGAGTGCAGTCGGTCTCGTTGTTTCTAGTCGAGGTGAGCTTGGGTCAGCGGTCCCAGTTTGCATAAAGTGAACAGATGCACAGGAACGCCAGAGAATGTGGGATCGCATTGATAAATCGACCTCAAAACCTGCCTCGTCTCTGTCTGTCTCTGGGCTCCGTTCTCTTCGACATGTAAATTAAAAACGAATGCGTTTCCCCTCTTACCTGTTTGACTTTGTGCTGCTTTAAACTTTTCGTTATTTCATACAACCTTTTCACTTTATTTCCTTAGCGAAACGAAAAAAAAACTACTAAAGAAAGATTTTAGTCCGGGAAAAAGAAGAACATTTCTACAGCAGCAGATCAATCCTTCCTCCTCCTCCTCCGCCTGCTACCCCCCACACCCCCAGGCACACACACACACACACACATTTTCCGGATCCAAATGAGATTAGTCAATCAGTGTGTGATGCTGTGTGGCCGCGGACGCCACTATTGTTACGGTAACAGGCTGCAACAAAGGGGGGGAGACGCGTTCAGTCGTCCCCATGGAGCAGCGCTGCTTCTTGTGTTTGCCATGTTTCCTAGTCGTTGACACGCACAGGGTCCTGCGGGTGTAGTCTGACACCTGAGAGACGGAAACGCTCACAGCGAGGGCTGGAGCCTCCTCGCCGTCATCTCTCAGCTTTCCAGACCGTGCAAAAGACGACTTTCCCTATATACACAAAAGTCAGCCTGCATGGAGATGGTCTCAGGCGCAAGGAAAGAGAAGTTAGCTACTAATCAACTCTCCAAGCGCTCAAGAAACTCCGCACCAATTAATTCAGTGAGAGGGATTCATTCAAATCCGAAAGAAATTAGGGGGGGGGGGGGGGGAGGAAAAAAGGCGAAGAATAATCGGGGGGAGGGGGGGGGGGGGGGGGGGGAGACGCGTTCAGTCGTCCCCATGGAGCAGCGCTGCTTCTTGTGTTTGCCATGTTTCCTAGTCGTTGACACG